GCTCATGGGAGGCCTGCAGAGAGGCTCATGGGAGGCCTGCAGAGAGGCTCATGGGAGGCTTGCAGGGATGCTCATGGGTATCTTTGCTTGCAAGGAAGCCTGAGGACTTGAGTCTGGATCATCAGCATCCACACACAGACCAGGAGCAGCTGTGTATGCTGAAACTCCAAACAGGAAGACGGCTGGAGCTAGCTCACCAGCCAGCCTACCCAAAAGAGTGAGCTACAGAGTCAGTGAGAAAGCTTGTCTCAGGAAAAATAAGGTGAAGACAGATGAGGACACCGTGAGCGCACGCACGCTTGCACGCATGCACGCACACAGAGAAAAGAAGGAGGAAAGAGCTACTGTGGAGAGTGAGGGGTAACAGGCTCCAAGGGGAGGGTGTGAGCAGAGACACCAGGGGCAAGTTACTCCAGAAAAGAACCTGCAGTCCCTTTTAGCTTCATCCTTCCCTCATCCTGATCCTGCCTGACTAGTGACCCTGCCTCAGAATGGAACTGGAGGAGGGGAAGAAGCTTGGGGTGACTCCAGCCCTGGATATCCTTCCCACTGATTCGCTTCCCACAAACTCCGCCTGTGCTCACACCTGGTCAGGAAGCTCGGGGCAGGCAACATGGAGCCTCCATCTGCTCACTCATAGTTGCCGGGAGCCACGGGCCCTTCATCGGCACTGTGTACTCCCCGAGGCATGCAACTCCAACAAGGGACACAACTGCCCGTATTGGAGGCATCTTTGGCAAGATGACACATCCACACTTTGGTATGGAGAAGACCACATGTGGTTCCCCACAACCAGAGACAGCAGTACAAACTCACCCAGTCAACTTCTAAGAAGAGCTGTACTTAGAAATAGTGCTAGCTTGACTGTCAGGTGACATGTGCCTTTTTAAAGGACACACTGCAAATAAGGACAGTGTCTTTTATGCTAATGAGGGTCTGCCAAACCAAAATAGACTCAGGTTCACAGGCAGTATGACTGAAAAGCCTTTTTTGATATTTTTGAATAACTAAAAAAAAGTGAGACAACTATTTGTGGAAATGACTGCCAATAGACTGTATACAGCTGTCCCCTTGGGAACTCATGCTGACTCGAGTGCCACAGTGACAGTATCAGGAGAACAGCTGGCATTCCTCTGGGAGGCAGTGTATCCACCTCCTTCCTGGGGAATGCAGTGGCTTCCGGGTCAATCTCACGTGCAGTGTGATTCCACTCACCTATGGAGGCCCTGCCAGATTCCCCTCAGGGAGGAGCCAAGAGACAACAGCAACAGTGACAGCCTGCCTCTGCACACACTGGCCCTCGGGACACCCTCTCTGGACCTGCTTATTGCTGTTCTTCTGTATGTCAACATCTGGGGACAGGAGGACAGTTTCCTTGGCCTCACAAAAACCACACATCTGGTCAGCCACTCTATGGGCCGTGATGACAGGCATTGGGCTGTGCAAAAACAGGGGAGCAGGTCCTCAGCCCTCTCTGGGTGCTTAAACTCAGATTCATTAAAAAGAAGGAGGGTGTGCAAACACACATCTGGGTTCTGGTTTCCAGGCAAGCTCAAACCTCAACAGAATCACTTGCCTGGTACTTCTACCCCAGCACCTCAGCGTTCCCCTAGTCCACACTCCACTCTGGCACAGCTGCTGCACACTGCTACTGGCTACTCCCTCCCTCTTCGAAGCAAAGCAGGGCAGCAGACGCTAAGTTGCCCAACAGCTGGCTGACAGTAAAGACTCCTGGTTTTAGATAAAGCAAGGCTCCTTCCAGGGGGAAAGCCTGACTAGAGTACAATGATCCAGTCTTAGAAGAGTCACTGACAGAAGCCTCTGGATGTATCCTCCACTGACTTGTAGACAAGTTCATTACTTGTGCTTAGAACTACATTTCTCCAGGCATGGTGCTTTGCTTCATCTGACCAAGCAGTTCAACTTGAAACAAAACCGAGAATTTTATATTTAGAAAAAAGCAGAAACCCTGTCTCGAAAAACAAAAAAAAAAAAAAAAAACAAAAAAAAAAAGCAAACGGAGCTCCCGTTTGGGGACAGCCCTTGGTGGCAGATCTAGTTGGAGCCTTGGAGTCTTCCCGACTCTTCCACTGTATAGGCTGGCCTTGACCTTTCATGGGTAGCCAGGGGAGCTTGGGATCTCTCTTCCTCTGCATTTACTCACCCAAAATACCTCCCGTTCTCCCTACTCAGCAGCTCTTATGGCTCTCAGTGAGTCCCACAAGCTCCTGTGCCAACTCTGCAGGCTACCAAAGCCATGTTCTACAGACAAATGAACATTTCCCACCCAGCATCTGAGTCAGAGAAGCTTCCTGGTCTCACTGCAAGAACATGGGGTCAAAAGGACAGGACAGGATCTATGGCGTAGCTATGGTCCACTGTGCCTGGCTCTCTTCCCTGACCTACCCAGAGCCATCCACCAGGGTAACCCAGGTAGGGGCAAAGGGGGGCTCTCCATGTGTTCCTTGAACAGCAGAAGCAGCAGATTTCAGAAAGAAGGAAAGGATACAAACACCAGAACTGCTGCAACAGCAGAATGACCCTGTCTCCAAGGATAAAAGGCTCCGTGGGGTGAGGGCTCCAAGCTCGTCAGATGGGCCTGACTTAACAGCCATTATCAAGCCGTATGTCTTCATATGCTATGTTTTATATGCCTATACACATGTCTTCAGACACATGTGGTCACAGATGTGCACATGCACACATCTGCATATAAGGCACATGCCTGTTCACAAACATCTTCTCAGCTCTGCTAACCCCCTAACATGCACCTCTATGATGTCTCTGGCTGTCAAAGCAAGCTCGTAGCCTCAGGCCTCTGCAGGTATTCAGCACAGACAGTGGTAGCTACTGTGTCAGCCTCTGTAAGCCTGGGCTCAGTGTGTGACACTGTCTAACTCGCTGTAGGCTCTGTAAGGGCCAGCTACCTATGGCAAGCAGGCTCTGCCTGCTGTCCAGAGCTTTGACCTGACCCTTCTTTCATGGTCCCTGGAAAACACTGGTCAGGCCACCCACATCTCCCGACAAGAAACACTTACAAACCTGGATCATTTCATTTCCAGCAGGCAGATCAAGTGTGTCTCCTCCCAGAGGCCAAAGCTGGGAGGGGTTAGCCTGGGCCACTGAGTCACCGCTGACAGGAATGGGATTCTGGCACAGGCCCCACGACTGGAAGAGATCAGAATGGGGGCTATAGGCTCGGCAGGGACTTGTCAAGCCACAGATCCCACCTTGTGGGGAAGAGGTAGGAAAGAGGAGAGGTGCTGACACACTGTGGCTGCCTGGTTTGCTATCTCCTGGTAACTCAGAAGCCAGGCCACATTTGGAAACCCCAAGTTAGGAGTTGTAACATAACCAGCTCCCCAATCATGTTATGTGTTTACAGATTCCTCCACAGTGAATTTAAGGTAACTGCAGTTGCTTTTAAGGAAACTTTTGCAGTCACAGACCCAGTTTCCCAGAAAGCTCTGCCTGTGTTGATTGCAGCAAACACCATCCCTGCTCGGCACCCCAACAGTGCTGTCCTGCCGGCACTGCCAAGAAAACCACTTTCTATACAAAACATGAAGCTGCTTAGCTCTGGGGTGTTATACTGTGGGAACCTGAATTTGCAATATTAAGACAAAGGTGTAACTCGACCAACCAATCGATGAATGGAAGCAAGATTCTCATCTGGGAAAAGCTTATAAAGTCATGGCTTCCTACCACGCCTGGCTTACAAACTGTCTCCCAGTGAGGAGGCAGTGAGGCCTGGAGCCTGGCTATGGGATCTGACCGTATTCGTTTCCACTGTAGGGAGGAGCTGGTGAGCCGTCACCTTGGCTGGCTGCTGTGACAAGGAGACCGAGATACATGCCAGGTGCCATCATCGCCCTCACTAGGAGGGCACTGGCCAGGAAGGCCTGGCCAGCCCTAAACGGTCCAATTCTGGCCATGCTTCTTGGGCCTGCCCTGTGTGTCTCTGGTCCACACTCAGGAGCTGTCAAGCTAGTGACTGCTCCTCCTCCAGCAACAGAGGCAGACAAACACCTGTCCTGCTGTGTGGGCCATTCCTGAATCTGCCTCCAGCATCAGAAGAAAGTTCCAAGGAGTTTCCCAGGCATTTACAAAACAAGAACCTTTTAGCCAAGCATGATGGCTAATCATCCTAGCGTGTGAGCATTTGATAGAGAGAAGCAGGAGATGAGAAGTCGAAAGCCAGCCTTGGCTACTTAAGTGAGTTGGAGGCCAGCCAGAGGTACATGAGACCACAAGGCAAGTATGGTTTCACTGGAAATGCTACCCTCAGGTGAGAGGTATGATAGCCACGAGGAGGACTGATGTCCATGAAGAAGAGCCTGTCCATCCCGAGAGTTTCTCTGAAACACTGCAGCCTGAGACAGTGAGCAGGGAAGGGAAGAGGGCATCTGGCATCTATCCACACATCCCACAGACGAGACTAAGGAGAGCCCAGCAACACTGGACTACTTGCTCTGTGGCTGACACAGTAACAATGGAACCCAACAGGTATGAATTACGAATGTTAAATGTGTGGTGTACCACAATGAGCACACGAAGGCCCACTGCACGACATGAAGCAACCACATTGCCGTCTCTGGCATCTCCTAGCAGGGCTTCAAAAGAATCATATATGATTCTTTTGTTAATTCTTAATGTTAAATTGGTGATGAATAAAAACCCAAGTCAGATCCCAGCTATTGGCCACAAAGATGAGCTTGGGCTAGGTGACCAGGTACACTTTGGCTGTCCAAGAAAACGAAGAAGTCGGTCTTCTTGGGGGATCCCCGGTACTGTAGGAAGGAGTCTGGCAGATATAAGCCTTCAGCTACAAAAGAATGCAGCCATGCAGGCCACCGTGGCATGTCACACAGGGACAAGTCTGCACTAATCTCCCAGTAATGAACTTTCAACTCCTTCACTCTTCCTGCTCCCTTTGCATCTAGAGGAGACCTGCAGGTTCTCCACAGGCTCTGGGATGTGGACATGTCTGACTGCAGTGACATGAGGGATGGCACCCAGGCCAGTAGCCAGATCCTTCATCTTCAGGCAGCCAACACCAGCCAGCCTGCAGCTGACCTCAGGGCTTCCAAGGGACAGCACAGACTGACACACGACAGATGGGGACAAGGAGCAGGCGCTGCTACACGCCTGGCTTCACTGGTGGCTCCCCCTAACACATTTCTGAAGCAGTGCCAGTTCTTTTCAGACTAAGAAAGAGTGGCAGAGGGCAGGACTGGAGGAGGGCATTGAGGGACCCGGAAGGACCGTGCTTTGGGATCTGCTTTTCCCCCATCCACTGCCAACTCTGCAGCTCCACTTAAAACCGAGATAATGCAAAACTGCTGCTGACCCTAAAATCGATGTCGGAAGCCCAGGACCTTTCGGCAGTGTCTGCACACGGAACTCCAAGTCCCACCAAGAGTCTACTAGGGGCAAAACCAAAATAAGAAAAAGCAAGTCCTTGTGCCAGGAGTAGATGCTTTCCAGCGGAGATTAGTGTGGCTGGAAGAAGGCCTGGACCACAGCTGCAGGGAAGAAGGCCCAAGAAGCTTCCACGTGTTTCTCACTAACTTGACCCATCCCACCAAGAATCTTTCCACAACCCATGTGCTAGCTCAAACCGTAGTTATCTCCAGGAAGAGCGGTGGGGGCTAGAAAGACAACTGTCCAGTAATCCCTCCAACCACTGACCTGCCCGGACACTTTTCATATACACACATTCCTACGGCAAAAGTCTGATTGTGCCTTGCTGTCCATCCCTACACTGGGGTGTGTGCGTGTGCGTGTGTGTCTGTGTGTCTATGTGTCTGTGTGTCTGTGTATGTGTGTCTGTGTGCACATGTGATGTGTGTATACCAGTCAAAGATCAATGTAATCTGGACATTGCTAATCGGGCAAGCCCGGCTGGCCAGTAATTTCTAGAAAATCTCCTATACCTACCTCTTCAGGGCTGGAATCAGGGTCACAGCAGGCTTTTTTATGTGGTATAGGAACTAGAATCCAGGTCCTCATGCTTGTATAACAAGCACTTTACTGAGTGAGCCATCTCCCCAGCTACTAAGTCTTTGGGTCTCTGTCCTAGTTAGGGCTTCTATTGCTGTGATCAAACACCACAACCAAAAATAAGTTGAGGAAGAAAGGGTTTCCTTGGCTTCCACTTCTGCACTGAAGTATGCATATCAGTGAAGGAAGCTAGGACAGGAAGTCAAGCAGGGCAGGAACCTGGAAGTGAGAACTGATGCAGAGGCCATGGAAAGGTGCTGCTTACTACTGGCTTGCTTCCTCTGGCTTGCTTCCTCTGGTTTGCTCAGCCTGCTTTCTTATAGAACCCAGGACCACCAGCCCAAGGGCAGCACCACCCACAAAGGGCTGGGCCCTCCCCCACTGACCACTTATTCAGAAGATGCCCTATAGGCTTGTCTACAGGCCAGATCTTACAGGCGTTTTCCTAACTGAGGTCCCTCCTCTCTGATGACTCTAGCTGTGTCATGCTGACATAAAGCTAGCAGCCCACCCTGGCCTCGAGAGGTCGTGAGCAGCGTCCACAGTGGCCTTTCAAGTGTGGGTACCCTACTTCTGCTCAGCTCCATCATCTTTAAGCCTACTAAGGGGTGTGTGTGTGTGTGTGTGTGTGTGTGTGTGTGTGTGTTATACACTACTATATGCATAAACATAGATAAACATGGAAAAGAGGTTTGGCACACACATGCAGAGGCCAGAGGGAAACATCAGACGTCTTCCCTGTTGCTTTCTGTCTCACTCCACTGAGCCAGGGCTTCTCCCCACATATGAAGCTCCACGCTTTCCTTCCTGGATCTGCCTGTGCCTGCCTCCAACTCTGGGGCTCCTAGCAAACATGGCTGTGTCCAGCATTTACATGGCATTGGAGATTCAGACTCAGGTCCTCATGACATTGGGGGTGGAGGGAGCAAGCAAGCATTCAATGGACACTTCCCCTCTAGGCCATGGTCTAGAGCCCCTGGCTGCATTGGTTCCTCGTACATTTCACCTCCAGAGCCCTAGGAAGATGTGGTCTTGCACGCTGAGTCGGGAGAGGCCCTGGGCTACGAAACGACAGGTGGTGCAGCAGGCCACATGAGGAGCCTGAGAGGAGCTCCCGAGCTGAAGCTGAGCCACACCTCTGATACGGGTTCTCTGGAACAAGAGAGCGGGCCTCCAATACAGGTGGGCTTGGCCACTAAACTGGGGGTGGGCAGGGGGACCTTAAAGTAGAGGAAGGCAGACACAGTACCAACGGTGATGTGGGTTGGACTGTCTCTCTCCAAGTCTGATGAACCTCCATGTCTTAGTATGACCTCACTTAGAAACAGGGCCCTTAGAGGATAAGGACAGGCCCTAACCTAAGGACAAGTGTCTTTCCAAACTTAGGGACATCTAGACACAAGGCACAACTTTAGAAGGCCATGCAACAACAGAAGCTATCTAGGATGATGTGACCATACGCCAAGGAATACCAAGGACCTAGTACAACAAGCAGAAAGCCCTTCCAGAGCCTCAGGAGGTAATGAAGGCAGCATGGCCTCTTCTGGACACTTCTGCACAGGCATACTGGCTTCCACTGAATGCCTCGGTAGAGATGGCTGGGCCCTCTGCAGACTCCTCTGCATCCCTCTGTACAGGTAGCCTTGCCTCCTCTGAACATCTCTGGCCTTCGGAATGCTGGCTGAGGCATTTACTTCATTCTAAGGATCCAAGCAGGGACCAGGGGTTTGGAGCTCCAAATCCCAAAACACAAATAAGCCTTTCACTTGAGGCTACCAACTGGACCACACGCTGACAAGAACTTCCCAGAATGCCCTGAGGCCTCTCTCTAAAGGTCCCTGTCCTCTCCTGCAGCTGCTTTGGGTCAGCTCAATGTCCTTCAAAGGAGCCACCAATGGTCCCCTCTAACTGCTTCCCTGGGTCCTCTCCACACTCTCTAGGGCCCCTTCCTAACAGGGGTGACAGAGATAAATGCTGGATCCCTGCTGGGTGTCAGGAGGAATCTGTAGCGTCTTAATATAAAGGAGTCACCAGAATCCAAAAACTACACAAAGCCAAATTCCAGCTCTGAACTGGGCAGAACAGACCTAACTGACAGCCTGAAGAGGCATGGAGGAAGAGCTTCACATATCACTCCATAAAGACAAAAGCCCTCCCGTGCACAC